TTCTGCGTATCACTGAAACTATTTTTTTGCGCATTATTGCATGAAAACAGTCAGTGTGAGCATCCGCAAACATACCAGATGCACTGCAGTACCTGGGTAACCCCAACAGCATCCTAATCATGTTGTTGTAGGTCGCTGAAGATGTTTTGGGGTATACCTAGCCCACAGGCCGCTACAGTAAAACGATTAAATATTTAATTAACGATAATAATTATTATTTTCTTTGTTAATTTGAATTTTCATTTTGTTTTGATTTGTTTGCGTTTAGTTGTTTTTAATTTTTTTTCTTTTGACAAAATTTTTCATCTTCGAATTAAGTTCATTTTATTTATATATTTTGAATAATATTAAGTTTTGATTTTGAAGATTTAAATTTGCAAAGTATATCCCTATAAACAATGGCTACTAATGTTAAGGTTAGTACAACTAACATACTATGGACCTTGCTATGTTGTCTGTCAATAAAAGATCCAAATTTTCTAAAAAGCCTTGTGAAAACATAGTGGACAAACATATTATTATATATTATAAGAATTGATTCTATTGAAATTTGAAGTTTTTTTATTTGTAATATCTAGTGACGGGGCGAAGAAATTAATTTTCCTTAATAACGACACAATAATGTATTTACGAACGATCTTGTAAACACATTAATTATTAAGTGGTCGACAGAAATTCTCAGAATTATTGTAGTTTTCCATGTTGACAAGTATTGTTCATTCAATTAATTACTAAATAACATTTGATTCTTCTACGTTTTAGTAATCTACGAAATAAATATATAAATAAAATAAAATGTTACTTTATTTAGGTACGCATACATAAATAAATTTAACATTACGTTACTATAATATGTAAATAAATATAATATATAAAAATATATAATATGTCAGCTGGGATAATGTAATGTCATTAAAAAATCGTAGTATGTCTGCCGCGATGGATGTACTGTCCTCCTTAAAGTAATCGACATTTTTAGCGAAATTGAGTTATTAACATATCAGTAGGGCTAGCACGATAATGCGCGACTTGCGCGATAGCGATATAAAACGCGAGATACCGCTATAGTTAAATAAAATAATAATGCTTATGAAAATAGCAATATCTCGCGCTTCTATGTCGTTCTCGCGCAAGTCGCGCCTTATCGTGCTAGCCATACTGGAATCAGCGAAACGAAATCTACAACCGCCTGTAAAACGGTTTTTTATATCTTATTTAGTTTCAGTTTTATTGCCTCTTAAGACCCAGCAAACTGCAATGGGAAAAGCGCTAAATGACCAATGTATACACGCCAGCACATCAAAGTATCTTGTTCCGTTGCACTGGAGGTGATTCTCGAACAAAAATGTGTAGTCTGGTGTGCCGTAGTCCGTGCATTAAAATGTACTAAATATAATAACATTCTTCCGAGTCAAGCAAGTATGCTCTCAGTTTCGTATGAAAAACGTATTTTTGTTGCCAGAAATTTGAATGCGATATTTTCATTATAATGTACACTGGGCGTTTACGTGATCATAAGATTAATATTGTCTCGGTCTGAATTACTTCACATATTATGTACATTTTGATATACATGGGTCCTTAAGAGGTTAAGCAACGTGAGCGTAGTTCACACTTTTCAAAGAAAAAATAATCTTTAAGTGCCAATATCTCTAAAATTACCAAAATGCAAATGCGCGTTAGTAATGACAAGGAAGGCTGTGTCGACAATCATGTTTCAAAAGGATAGATGTCGATTATGGCAACTGGTTTCTACATATTTCATTGACTTGTAATTCTTAGAGTATTTTAAAAGAACAAAAAATTTGACAATATATTCTTGGTGACTGCTGGTTCTGTATTGTGAGTGAGACGAAAGTTATTAGTAATTAATTTGTACATATTTTTGGCATTCTTTTGGATTGTATTTAATATGCACATATTTTAATCATTGTTCATTTGTTACAGGTTAGTCATTGAATACAACTCGAACGTTGGTGGTGAGTCATTTAGGCTTTCACACTAATAAAACTAAACACTCGTTTATAAACCGACTCCAAACGTTTTTTGTTGGAAAGAGAATGTTTCAGAGAGAGAGAGAGATATATATATATATATATATATATATATATATATATATATAAATCTACCTCTAAGGGTGAACTACTCACTATATCACTAACTAGCTATACAACTAGTGATATAACTAGTTATATAACTATATAACTAGTGATTGAATCTGGTTACGCGCACTTTCCTGTAATAGATTTCAATAAAACTTGGCAAATAGATGTAATTAATTAATAGAAATGGTTTTTTTGTATATAAAAAATCATAAAATTATCAATCTCACTATACCTGCATAATATGCTGTGGGTTTACTTATTCTGCCGTGCTTACAATATTAACAGTTTGAAACTGTTCTTATCATAAGCACAGCAGTATTTTGGAGCAGAAATTTACGATTTACGCTCGTTTATTAGATCTTTCATTAAAAATAACTTCTAGATTTAGTACCTCTCGTTGGTTCTGACTGAAAACCAGCGCCTTAGGGAACTTAGGTATATGCTAAGTCAGCGCAATTTGACTGCAATGACAAAAATGTTTTGTTTTTCCTGTTGTATTCAATCTGTATTTGTGTCATACTAGTGCATAAATTGTTTATCTATCTATCTGTTTGTTACTTTATAAACGATAAATTGCTTCGACCTAATAACAATTTTACGTCCTATACGCATTGGAATATTATTCTTCATTCTTGCACGTGTACGAGTTGGTTAAACAAGTATTGGGTGTTTGTGCCTTTTGCTCTATATAAAGTCCAATTTACATTTTTCCAATTCACACACACAACTTTTACCCATTTTATTTTTAATTATGTAATTCTTGATTTATGTCGTATATTGTTGTAGTAGCAGTAAAGCTCCTTGTCAAAGAGGTCGTCCAGGGTAATACTGCCACCTTTTACCTATTTCTGCCGCTAAGCAGTATTACTGTGTTCCGGTTTTGAAGGGTAAGGGTGCTATGGGACTTGTCAACTTGTGTCTCAGGCACAGTGGTAGTGCCTCTCAGATCTTTGCGATTTTAAGGCTTTGCATGGCACTGCAACTGTTACGGACAGGCGTATAGCTTACCTTCAGGCGCAAGACTTGTTCGTCTTCATTTGCATTTCATCCAGCTCTGTTTGACTCTAAACAAACTCGAATTGAAGTCTCCACGACTGCACGCTGAACGAGTTCAGCTTACTTTCAACTATATTTCAGCGCACGCTCGACCGGAGTCTTCCCAAGTTGACGTACTAACTTCTCCCCTGCTCCCGGAGCTGTAACTAAATACACATATAACTACATACAAATATAACACAAGAAACACGGCTCGTATCGTATTAATACGCTGTCCCAACTTACATAATCTTGTGCACTTTCGCAACTCCGAATTTCCGCCGTTACATTGTCATACACCAAATAACACATTAATAGGTATAATCCACGGTAAGTAACGTTAGGAGAGGCAAAACAAAACAGGCTCTGTAGTAATATTGTGATAAACAGAGAAGCGCACGTTACGGTGAGGTTTATCAAAAAGCGGCAAGCAAACGGTCCGTTAACGCATCAAGCTTTAAAACCACTTTGAATAACTAAAGCTGCGACTTGGCGTTACATTTTCTTCTTTACTTAGAGTGCGTATTGTGCGAGGTTTTCGTTGCCATTAATATTAACACAGAGTCGTTCACCTTGTACGCTCGCTCTGACGCTACACGTGTTACGCTTTCCATTATAATCACGGCGGGTTTTTATCATCTATATCACGCGTGTCAGTATTATTGCGCGTCGCTTGCAGCACTCGTTATCTGCCCTGGTACAGGTCGCCTAGTCTATATTATTGTTAGATGGTATTATTGCTAAGAGGAAAACATATCTCGAAATAGCGCGATTGTGCCGCGTCGAGTCGTCCCTCGTCCGCCATTATTCACTTTTTGCAGAGTGCTAGCATTCGCCTCGTTCTGTTGACGTCGTCGTTTTTGTGCCGCGCTCGGTTTGATACAGGCAGACGCTTTGTCATTTTTGGACGACCACTCCGATTTCCGGGCAGCCTAGCTACCGCGCAATTGGACGCAAATTACAAAAAAATACCAATTTGTCTTTTGCAACGCTCGCGCTTGCTTCCAATTTACGTTCTCTGTAGTGTCATTTACCGAATTGTGGCTTTGTCTTTATACTAGACTTGTATTTTCTTCTATAAAAGGCGAGGCACATACATGAGGTGGGCGATCGTTGCCTCACTAAATACTGTTGTTCCCTTATGTTACACTTAATACTCTGCCTATTAGTATTGTATGTGAGATGACAGTCGCCCGACGAGTTCAGGCCGATTTAGAGAACTCGTTCTCCAACCTCAATAGGCAGTCCTGTGAGAAGTTTTCGCTTATATAATGTTTGCATATTGATTGTTGCTTTTATAGGCTACACGTGTATATGAATCATGCATTGTAATGGGTGAAGTTTGCTTGCAAATTTTTTGCGTACACGGTTTTTCAAAGAACAAGTCAAGTTACGATAGTAGTAATTGTCAGCCGAACGTCAATTAGGCCGATTGGAAATGGCGCACAGGTCTGTAAATTGGATTACTTATACAGCGTCAAATTCGATTGCTACTCGACATGCGAGCGGCGTACCTTACCTAACCTTCAATGCCATTACGAACCGAGACAAATAGTCATGCCTTATCAGCAGTTGCGCAATTCCCGCCTTTAATGAATACACGTGTTATCTCGCCCGTTGCCGTTCGAGAATATTCCAAACGTCCGCGTGGCTAGGTCCGCGGCCGATAGTAAGTATATATTACTTCACAACGAATGAGTACACCAACCGGCTCGGCGCTCGGATAGTTTCGCACGACCACAGTCAGCCGCGTCGCACATCGGCGTGCACCGATCGTAAATTCCGTTTTCGCCGGCGTGAAAGGCAACCTCCGCTGGCATCGGTGCATTCACCGCACACCATGTCGAATTTATCGCGAGATCGATACGCGTACCCGCCAACGCGCTCTGTATACACGCTTACCTGCGCCTAGCCGCGCTCGGCCGACGTCACCACACGTGGCGAGCGGGGACGCGCGGACAGCGCTCGTGTGTGAGTGCGCGCCGATTATATGGAATTCAGCGATTACGCCACCTACCTATACGAATGCGGCGAGCGAGTGCGACCGCCGCGAAGTAATAATAATAATTAGCTGCCTCATTATTGTTATTCGAGGCGACGGCACTCGCTGTCACCGGCAGATAAACGCCGCGCGACCAGACGACGCTCGCCCCGCTCGTTCAACTCTGCCATTGTTACGTTTGCTATTGTTTTGTATCGAGGAGAAGTCCGCTTTGTGTAGTATCGTGCAGTGTTGTGTGCCTGGTCCGATTGGACTGGATTGTTAGACGCGACGGGACTCTCCTATCAAGTACGTTTGCTATCTAAAGTTCAATTGTATTATAAATGATGGTCTATAAAGAACGGTAGGTACATTTGATAATTTGACCTGGCAACAATCTCTGAACTAGAAATAAAGCAATGTTAGAGTTCGATTGAAATAATCATGACATAACTTCTATAAATTGGTGAAAACTCGGTACTCTTGACGAAGAAAGTTATTGATGGCCATTGCTTTTGATGTCAACAGCAATTCCAGTTTGAAGCGCACTTCAACTCTGTTTCTGGTTTACTCGGATGTTGAAACGTTTGATGTCGGATCTCGCTTTCCAATTCTTTTGTTGTCATGCAAAAGTAATACTTTCGAGCTTTTCCATGCAAGTTAAAATAGCATGTACACTATACCCACATGAATAAGACTCACAATACATTTATACACATACAGTGTTATTGTTCCTGTTACTACTCTAAATAATTAAATCCTTATCAAAAGAAATGTGTTATCTAATCGATTGGCGTAACCAGTCATTTATTACGTTCGCTTTTAGGGTAAAAATGTGGAAGATTTTAAGAATATTTATGTCTGTTTTTACTCAATATAAATTGCGTTGACGTGGAAGCCGTTCTCCTTTTCGATAGTATAGTATTTGTCTACTAATGTGAACATAAGGTGAATGGTCCCATTATTGCCACGCTTGCGTTGCAATTTCATACCAGAAAACCGTTTTCGTGCTCAATAAACAGAAAATACACAACATTAGGGGCACCACTAGTCTGGCACTGCGGTGCTATCGAGGGTTGTTTTCATAAATCGCCGCGATCGAATGGTCCGTACGATTTATGCGCATCTCGACTCTCGTCTATCACGTCACGCTAGCCCGACGTACGGAAAATGGACAGCCTTGGCCTGGAATAACGAAAAAACCCTAACAATTTTGGACGAATTTATTACTTACTTTTTGGATATTAAATATTTTTGCACAAAATAGTTGCACTTTATAGGATTAAATAATTTTGTTGCGTAATAAATAATTACGTCGAATTATACAAATAGTGCCAATACTGAAAGAAATGGGTGTTGCACCCGAAAGGTGAGACATTAAATGTTGTTGATCACTTTTTGATGCTACAATATTACAAATGTCTAGAGGACGAAGTAGAATTCCGAGAACGTGTTTACTCGCATTGTACAAGATTGTTTATTTTACATTCTGTTTAATTATTTTCTACGGTTTGAAATGTAAGAAATTTAATAAATATCAATGTGCAACTATTTAAAAAATTCCGACAGTTTCTTTGCAGTTCGTTCATTTATACACAAATTAATTAGTCATTAAGAAGTCATCGACTGCATTTGTGGTAATAAAATTACTAAAAATGCTACGCAACTGACGATCATGATGTGGCAAAAAAAAGATTAATCGCGGGATCTCGTCCCGCGCCACAACCTCTTAAAACAATATTACTTTAAGCTTACATTGACTTTTCGTACCATAACGCGCTTAAAGTAAGCTTATTGTAATGTTAAAAGTATGATGTTTTATTGGCAGCTTTGTGACGATCCATTCACTCAGTTCGTACTATGACGCGACTTTAACATTAAAGTAATATTGTTCTTATGTCATATTTAGCAATCATAAAATAGTTACACGGATACAATGGAAAAAAAAATATTTTGAGTTTTATTGTCTTAATATTGATTTGTAATGATTAAAAGTTAAGTTGATCTTATTTATTTACATATATCTATGTTTATTTTTTATTTCATATCACATAGGAAATAATTTCTCGTTAAATAAAAATACGCGATGTTTATTTCGCAAAATTATGACAGCGCCCTCTATATCATTGACAAAGCTAACATTTGACACTAGACTATAATTCCGAATTCTCAACGTGACTATCAACACTCAACTTGTTTTATTTATTTTTCTTCATGAAAATGCGGAAAAATTATTGAAAACAACGTAATTTTAATAGATTTTATTATTACATACTTTTTTCTTTTTTTAACAGTCAAAATTCTCTGAATCTAAATGACATCAAGTACTTAAAATATTACTACGATAAGACGATTTGGATCACCAAAAAAGAAAGAGATGGCATTATATAGTTCACATAGCGTTATCTCTTACCTATTTTTAGTAAGGAATGGACAATATTGGGAAATCATTCGATCTTTCAATCACTTTTGCAATAATACATTACTCGATTGACAGGTTCGTCAAGATACGAATACGAGTATATTATAATAAGCTACTTTAAGCTTACATTGAAATAAGTTTGTTTTTGGAAAGGTTATGGTAGGCCCCCAGGTACCTGGCCTCATCTTACTTAGATAAACATATATTTAATTGGTTAATTATTTGTCATATGAGTGTAAATATGTACAAATATCTTAACGTATACTTTTTAAGGTTAATCAATATATGTGGAATTTGTCGTCAATTTATTCTACTCCAGTCATATAATTTACACACGCGTCATCTCAATAATAAACATCTAACAGGTTATGCAAGTTATTATCTATCACGCACTTAGCAGTTGCCGTGTCCATATATAAAATTGTACTTGATAAGGTTAAAATAATAGCTTTTTTAGTCACCACTAATTAAAATAATAATAAACAATAAAAAAAGACCGACCCAATTAGCCACCCTTATACAGACAAATAGCGTTGTTATGCTGATATGTCGATTCCATTGGAAGTAATTTTATTTGTACTTTAATTTTACTGAGAACTAACTGACGACGGAACTCTTTTTGGTAGAAGTAGAGCTCCTTGTGAAAGGCTTCGTTTATGGAATGACTGCCACTTTATCTATTTTTCCCGCCAAGCTGTAATGTGAGTATTACTGTGTTCCGGTTTTGAAGGGTGTTGGTAAAATTACAGGCACATGAGACTTGTAAACGTATGTCTCATGGTAACTGGCGCAGTGTCAGCTGTCAATCTTTGCTATTTAAAGCTCTGAGCAGCACTGCAACTGTTATGGACACGCGTGTCGCATAACACCAAGTGTACGACTTATTCGTCTTGTCACTTGGTATCATAAAAAATAACTTCGCCGGTAGAATACTAAGAATACAGAACGATGACCCAATCACAATAGTTATTATAATTATAGTTAACTGGAACGAAACAACTGTTGAGATTGTACGATCAGCGACATTAGCTTTGTTGCCAAAGTAGGTGACGTTTAATTGCCGTGCAGTCAAATTCTTAAACCCGGCGCTTCACTAGAAAATATTCATTTGACTTGCAAAAATAGAGCCACGTTAAACACAGGGGCATCCACCGAGAATTGCAACGAGGCAAAACGCGTGTGAAAGAAAAATGAACGAAACGTGATCCCTGTTACATATTTGCAGTGCATACGTGACGATAAAGCTGACATATTTTCGTACTGATGTCATTTTGCTGGTATGAAAATGTGACAGTATGACACTTCTCCATAATAAGGGCTTGCCGTAGGTTTGTATACTTACAGACAAAACTGTAGGTAGAATAATTTCATCGCTTAATATTATATATAGATATGTATAGTATTGTATAATAGTAGCAGTAGCTCCTTGTACTGCCACCTTACCTATTTCTACCGCCAAGCCACTAATCAAAACTTGTTCGTACCTTCACTTGGTATAATAAAAAAAAAAACTAATTTGTGTCAAATAGCCACTATGCCAAATGATTCAAGATTGTTTTTAAGCATTTGGTAGTTAGTTACACTTTTTTTTCCATTGTGTTAATTTGTTTTAACGTTATTAAAACTAGAATATGGTAACTACTATTGTGTAACCAGTTTAAAAGCGAAGTACTTTACGTAACATTTAAACCTTAATCCACTGTGCTGTGCTGTAGTGCCTGGACCTACGCCACTAGACTTTCTATAGACACCACTGTTATATACATTTGTGGTCTTCTAGCTTGGTTCTTGCTGAACCGGTTTCAGTTAACACGTCGAGTGTAGCGTTCTCGTACAAAAGCATATTCTTTAGTGTATATATTTTATTGTATACTCTGCTATAAATAACATCTAAATAAAGAAGACAATACGATGTTAATGGGCCGCTGTCAGTAACTTAATGCCGAATCGCCTATGCGTGATGTTTGCAGATAACAATAATCTATTTAAAAATATTAATTGTAAAAGGAATCTACTAAGACTCTTTCGCCTTATAAGTTGCTAGATCTCATTTAGAGCTAGTACAAATGTATTAAATAAATTAATTAATGATCATAAATCTATATTTATAAAGAATATTTTATGACTACTACTAATTACTCTAAGAAAATGGTGTTGCCAGAGACCTTGACTCGAATATTACATTTCGCTACTTAAAAGTTGTATTTACATGTGCGTTTTTTTTAAATTTTAACTGTAAAAAGTCCTAGAAGGTACGCGTAAAGCCTAAAAGTAAAAAGTAAATACTCTCAAGAGAAATCAAACCACCAACAATAACCAGTAATTGATTGATTTCATTTTGTTTGCGCCACCTCTGTGTTACTTTATTATTTAATTTCGTAAACTATTTAGGATTTATAATAACAAATATAGTTGATTTAAAAAAAACTCAACGTTTTAAAAAGTTACGAAAATTGCTTTAAAAACAAAAGTTACTTACATGTCACGCAAGAGAGTCAAGAGTTACGAAAAATGTAAGACATCTGGCAACTCGGGTATATATCGACGACAGATCGTCATACACGACTGCAGGAGCACTGCCCTCAAAAATTAATTTAAAATTTAAAGCAATCTCTTGGTCACTAGAGTAAAAACTAGAAAACAAATTACAGATTACTCACAATTTATATGAACTATTTGGTAAGTCAATAGTTGTTTATATCAAAATTTAATATACAAAGTTGTTTTAATATACATACTTTGAATTTTAT